TGAATCAAAATCTGATGACTGGACAATGAGAAGAAAAAAATTTCTATGGTAAATGTTCAAAAACGTTTCCACCAACTTCCTTACAATGGTACAAACGAGCTTCCATTGTCGCCCTCACATGGTTGAGAATCTCGGGAGTTATTTCGCTGCAATGCCTCATGATATTATCATTGAACATACGGGCAGTAGCTCAAGCACTATTTCCATTCTTGTAGTACAAACTCAATATTTTAATCTGTTCTCGAAGCGTATAAACCATTGCTCCTCAAGAATTCACAAAAACAGAAACACCAATTGTAACTTCCCCTGGTAGGTAATCGTTATTGTAGAATGAGACAAATACAAAATGAAGAGAATATCGAATTCAAACTTAACTAGGCAAAATAAGAATTTTTTGAAGTATACTTCACAAAAACACCTATGAAACCTAGGTACTAGACTGTACAGAAGTACATTCACAATGGCCCGTTTTCAACTCAAATAATTTTTAGCTTCCAAACTATGAACTTTAGACCATAATGTATTCTACTTTGTTGGAATCTGTTCATCATGGAACATCTGAATAATATAGGTATAGGAGTTCAGAGCCAAAATCCTATGTATTTTCTTATGGAGCTAAATTCTGGACCTTTTTGGACTTCAGGCCCACTTCACACGGAAGGGGCAAAGGTCAGCGCCTTGTCTCTGCCAGACGTCCATAATGTGTAAACTGAGCCTTAGCCTTCAAAGCCCAATTCAGACCACCTCCACTTTTCCACTTTTACCGTCATCCAGTCGACCAATCAGAAGCTACCGCGCATACAGCGGGAAATTCAAACCAGTAGATGAACAAGGCGGGAACGAGTACACTTCAAGGTCGTGCGTCGCTGGTAAGTATTTCAGAGAAAAACGTGTGACATCATCGGCGCACGACCTTGAAGTACGCCAGAATCGGCCTTGTTCATCTACTGGTTTGAATTTCCCGCTGTATGCGCGGTAGCTTCTGATTGGTCGACTGAATGACGGTAAAAGTGGAAAAATTGATGTGGTCTGAATTGGGCTATGAATGCTGAGGCTCAGTTTACACATAATGACCGTCTGGCAGAGACAAGGCGCTGACCTTTGCCCCTTCCGTATGAAGTGGGCTTGAAGTCCAAAAAGGTCCAGAATTTAGCTCCATACGAAAATACATGGGATTTTGGCTCAGAACTCTTATAGCTATATAACTCATCTGATAATGCAAAACAATTGAATCGTTTAAAAAAAATGGTGACATAGTCTGGGGATGCGATAGGGAAAGTTAGATCAAATGTGAATATGTCAAAATGTGTCCCCCTGTATACTATTGTTGAGGTGTTTTTTTAATTTTTCCTGCAAATCATTGTACCAAAAGTTATTCAGGGTGGCTTCTTTTAAATGGAATATGCGGTATAAAAAGAGTTTGCTGTACCCGAAGATCCAACCCATTTGAAAAGTGTGCCAACAATCAAAGACTATTCACCATACTGTGGCCTAAGCCAGGTAAGTGATTGTTGGACCCAGGAATCGTGTCCCTCGAGAAGACATAGCAAAGCAAAAACAATATCGTTTTGCATTTGTCCGGTCAAGTTTTAAGGCAAGTCAGTATAATCGAGATTCGGGAACAAAAAAGGCGATATTATATATTCCAATAAATTAGGCACCTCTATGTTTTCAGAATACACATATTTGAACATTCTGTACAGTATTATTATTATGATTTTGCAGATACTAATCAATAAGAGGCATTTGCTATTGAACAGTACATAATCATGAAGGTGATCTGAAAAATTTCCGACCTCAACACGAGGACAGTAGCATTCGTAAATTAAAGTAAGAGAGATAGCAGAGGTTATGAACATGTCAAAAAGACGTGTTTGTCATAAATTAATGCAACATTCAGGCATAACAAAGCTGTCAGCGTGTTGGGTGCCGCGTTTGCTCACGTTACACAAAAAATTTGTTTGAATGAACATCTCCAATGCTCTGTTGGCGCAGTTTGGGAGTAATACATCCGAGTTTTGGCACCGATCAATTACTGTAGATGAAACTTGGATACACCATTATACGCCTGAAACAGAAATACACTCCAAACAGTGGAGTGCAAAGGAAAAGCCGGCCCAAACAAGGCAAAAACTTTTTCCGGCTGGGAAAATTATGGCGACTGTTTTTTGGGATAGTCATAGAGTCATTTCAATTGATTATCTTCAAAAAGGAAAAACCATTACAGGAGTAGACTACTTGACAAGCTGAAGAAAAATAAAAATATCTTGATGAAACTTAGTTTTCATTAAAACTTCAACGATACTTGATCAATCCTTAATTTCAATGCACCGTTGTATTCATGATTGAATTCCCTTCGAAATGATGTATCGCAAGTATAGTAGTCCCATTGAAAATTCTTTAGTAGGAAGTGCTGGGGATGAGGGGGTTGACAACACAATGATGATGTTTTTGTTGAAAGTGTTCGCCCTTGAAAAAAAATCAACGGGTCTGAGCGATTTTCATCTTTTTTCACGCTATATATTAGCTTCGCCTGTATGTATGTATGTATGTTTGTTTGTTTGTATGTATGTTTGTTTGTAACTCTCAACCTCAGATCTGTATTGGCAGAATTATCGGCATTATTGCTTGATCTATTCGCGGGCAGATGGTGCTGTACGTAACCTCATTGATATTTCTTAATCTATTCGCGGGCAGATGGCGCTGTACGTAACTATCAATTATTGCTTGATCTGTTTGCGGGCAGATGAGTATATGCATTTTCATTCACAGTATGTTACCAAGTTCGGACTTCCATTGCATAAAAACGTGTTAACAGATTTGAAATTCATGAATAAACAAATGAAGCTGAAGTCGTTGAAAATGCTGAAAATAACCGGCATTGCCTCTTTTTTGCATTATTTCTATTTCAACTAACTTATCCTAATATTTCAATTCAGTTATTTTTAGTATTTTCAATAAATTCAACATTCAAATTCATTCTTCCAGAGATTTCAAATCTGTCAACGAATAGTCTGGCTAAAGTCCAAGCAAGTAGCTGCAGTATTCTGTGATTTCCCCAAAGTTTTTGATTGTGTAAATCATGAACTTCTTTTGCAAAAGTTGAACTACTATGCCTTTAGAGGAGTGTGTAATAACTGGTTCGGGTCTTACTTAAGTGATAGAAAACAGTTAGTAAGATCAAAAGAAAAACTATCACAAACTAAGGATATCTTATGGGGCGTACCACAAGGATCAGTACTAGGCCCGGTTCTTTTCCTTATTTATGTAAATGACCTGGTGACTCTCTTAATTCAAGGAATTTTTACGATCTTCGCGGATGACACCACGCTCCTTTGGCATGGAAAAAATACTTCTAATATGAAAGAAACTATCTCTAGTGATTTAGAAGTTGTGAAAAAATGGTGTGGCGCAAACTACTTGTGCTTTAATATTAGAAAAACAAACCTACTCACCTTCAGCTGTAATATTAATAATTTATACTTTAATGGACAAATTCTTGAGAATAAAAACCAATACAAATTCCTGGGAATCTTCATGGATAACAAATTAAAATTTGATCAACATATTTCAGCTTTGAATAAAAAATTGGCATCAGGATGTTATGCAATTGGAATAGTTTCAAATGAGCTGAGTTCATCCACAACAAAAATGATTTGACTGATACTTAATGGATATCCATAATTACTAGGAATTAAAAATGAAAAAAACACTTTTTTAAATATCCATAATATATTACTATTTGTAATATGTGGCACGTTTCACTATTCCTACAGCTTTCTCAAACAAAAATGGTATTCAGTAAATGTACAGACATATTTATAGTACTTTGAAATCAGGTAAATAGAAGTAGCCCAATAACAAACAGGTAGTTTGATTAATACAATCAGAATAATATCACAAAGATGCTCTTAGTTCTCATCACATATATGCAATTAATTATTGAATCGGTTAAGGAGTTGTGAAAGGTTAACATCCAATTAAATTATCAACGGGCATTCTTCAAATATAGTAGATAAGTTCATGAAGAAAGTGAAATTAGCCTTCAAAACTCTTAATTCACTTCAACTAATGGTAGGTAACCATGAAGTGAAGATGTTGGAAAATGAAAATTTGAAACAATACCAAAAGAGCTGTGACAAAAAATACATCGGTCAAACTAAGCCAGCCATTGAAATTTGTTACAAAGAACACACAGCACATATTTGATTTTGGAGAGCTCAGAAAAATCTGGTATCCCTGAACACACTTTGGCCATAGAATGAATGAAAACTATCTGAAATTGTTGATAGCGGTTCCATTCCAAATAGCCCATTGGTACCTTTTTATGAATCACTCTCTCAAAATTAGCGGGAACTTTCACGAGATAATTTGTGTAAATTTCTACTCAAATTTCAGAGTTAGGAATTTCTTCGTCTCCTAGTGTTTAGGAAATGTGTTTGTTTTTGGATATATACAAGTTTATGAACCTCCACTATCCAAAAAAGACCAATACTCTACATAAATTCTGTGGCTACTGTTATGACAAATATCATCCAGAAGAGAATGAAAAATGGAAGTGGAAATATACCAAATATATTTTTTGAATACTTGAATCTCAAGATCACACTAACTTGCCATAGAACAGCCGATGCCATGGCCAATAAAATATAGAGTCATTCTTAGTTCAAGACACATGTTTCATGAGCCCAATGATCACTTACCATGTGGAGGGTAGTCACTATTTGATGTTGGTATACCCTCTTCTCGTCATAAACTCAAGTCGAACACTTCTTTCATATCTAACATTCCTTACGTAGGTAGTAACCCTCCAGAATTATAAACAGCAGGTTTATCTAAACGGTATTTTTCCAAAGCTAAATGGCTTCTTCTCTGAGGATATTTACCCTCATTTCGGAACATCGTTTCAATGTCGACTGGATCGAATAACCACACAATATTAACATCTGGTACAAGTTTTTCATGAACAACTGGACCAAACTTGTAGTATTTTTTGAAACCATTGTGATGCAGCTCATCAAATTTGTAATCCCCTACAATTTTATTGTTCTGAGATAATGCTAATTCAAAAAAATAAGTTCTTACCAATTATTGGAACATAATGATATAAAGTTCCCACAACTGGAAGGGAAATAGGCCCTGGTATGTTACTGAAGTTGTGTGAATACCTGTATAAATTACTGAAAGAAATCCATGTCGCTTTTTGTAAGTACTTATCTAAATGACTAAACCTAAAATATGAGTAGTTCATTCTAAATATTAAAAAAACAAAATGGGTATCAAAAATTTTCCTATCCAAAATTTATAACTTCTAACTTCTCATAACGTTCATGCAGGGTTGCCACACGTTATTTTATTTTCGTACTAAGATTTGAATAATAAAATGTGACCACTTCTTGACCATTACTAACCAGAACTTTTGATAGTGGTTACCTAAAAAATAAATTATCATAAGAATGTAGGCTTTTACGGCTGGCGTCAATGTTTTGAATGATTTCCGGGTTTTGCCGTGGTCTTTGGTTATGATTTCCAAACGTTTCGACTGCAACTGCAGCAGTCATCTTCAATGGCGTGGTCCAAGTACTCTTCTTGACATGTCAACATATTTGCGTTTGCATTACTAGTTGTATAATATGTCTTTCGTGATAATTGTATAACAAACCTCTTTGAATCTATGCAGTTCATTGCTTTCACTATCTAAGTGTTACAATTGATGATAACTGGAACTGTTTGGTGTGAAAAAGTACCTACCTGAGTCATAAAAATATTCAATATTTTTTTAATGTTCTGAGGACAATGCTATGAAAATCATATGATTTTACTTTTCGATAACAAAAACTAGTTGGTTCGGAAACTTATTTTTGACTTTGCTCTGAAAACACTATAAAAGTGACCAAGGTACCTTTTACCAATCACTCTATAAAACATTACATATTCAGACATGTCATCTTCACAACAAAATCATCGGTTAGTATTTTGACGTTCAGTTCCAAGGTTTTCAACACAAACTACTTACTCTCTTTGTAGTCTTCAAGAAACTGTGTTTCATATCTCCGGTTTTTCTGTAGTTAAATAATAGTGGTGATTTTCAGAACTACCAAACAAGTGTTCGTTTAACCAGATTTCTGGGTTCAGAAATTTCTTAACTTGTATTCTCTCACTCTCTCTAATTTTTTTGGACGTGTGCTTGCTCGTCTTACTCGAAGCAATACTGCCACCCCTTTTTTACAATAAAAACAATTCAACTTTTTTATTGTCGCCTTCTGCTCGGATGACCTTTTGATTTTTCACATATATTTTTTGAGTCGCCTCCTCTTCGGGAGACCTTCGAGTTTTTAAATTCACATACATGACCTCCTTTACGTGATTATACGAACCATTCCGGCCTAGATACCGGCGTGAATAAAGGGGGCCTTCACTTCACATTCTTGTCTGAACTTTCACGTAAACTTTAACATCTTTGCACAATAGACAATCACAATATAAATAAAAGCCCCGCGATAGCAAGTGGAAACCGCGTACCCTCTTTGTGTACGGACGTTTTTGGCACATCCACTCCCTAACTTGTGTTATGCTCCATACATCAATGTCAAATTTTCAGAAGCTTGCATAGACTGGCAGAAACAAAACCTATGTTTTACCCATAGTTTGTATTACGGATCCTTGTTTTTGTTCTCCTAGTGAGCAGGCAAATTGCACCAAATGGGAGTCGAGGAAAAAAAAAGGAAAATCCCTGGTACGTTGTTCGTCAACCTAGGTATGTTCGTTGACATAGTTCTAACAATCCCCAAAATATACACCATATGGGAAACTTATTTATTAAGGGTTTTTCGACGAAAAGTTATTCTTGATAAAAGTTTGTAAATCCCCTAAAGCTAAACATGCACTAACAAAATATAGTAAACACACATCCTCATTACATACGAGGAGACTTCAAATATTTGATTCTCAGACAAGAGAAAAGTACTCACATTTTGCAAAATCTAGGAAAATGTTATTTGAAAAAGTTGTTCAGCATTAAGAAATACATCTAGATTTGAAGTCATGGTCATCTAAGTGGAGTTTAACTTTTTTACCCATTTTTTAAAATGGGAACTACGAACAAAAATTTTGCTAAAACGATAAATAGATAGCATCATGTATACGACGGTTTATTTTGAAAGCCTGCAATATTGAAAATTACACAACCATGGTCTTAACCACGGTCAATTTTTTTGAAGAGTTATTTTTGGTAGTTATTTTTATTTTTTAGTAACATCAAAAATTACTCAAAATTGTACAGTATTGTAACAAGAACTTAATATTCAATAACATCAAAATAAAATAGGTATTTTGGAACAAACTCGTTGATTTTCTGGAGATTATTTTGGAGAAAAGTTGATTTGCAAGCTTATGCAGATGACCTTGTCATCTTGGCAAGATCCACTTCGTGGAAGATAGCTTTAATATCCTCCAAAGCGCGTTGGACGTTGTTCACAGTTGGTACCTGAGGAAGCAGATGTTTGTCAACCCCAGCAAAACTGTGTTATTTCCCTTCACCAAGAGAAAAAAAAATTGGACGATCTAACTCCACTTTCCCTCAATGGTGTGGTCATTCCATTTGGAATGGAGGTGGAATATCTTGACATTGTCCTTGATAAAAGACTCACCTGGAACGTTCACTTGCAAAAAGTTTTACACATAGCCAGACTGTCTCTATGGACATTGCGAAGGATTTGTGGTAAAACTTGGAGTTTAGGTCCTAAAAAAATCCATTGGATTTATGTGACGATTGTCCGACCAATGATCACGTATGGTACAATTGCTTAGTGTTGCTTAGTGGCCGAAGGTTTTACAGAAAACGGCCGAATCGAAGCTCTGGCTTACAGAGACAGGCTTGTCTGGCTAGCAGTGGTGCCATCGGTACCACACCGTCAGCGGCCATAGAGATCCTTCTAGATATCTACCTCTTCTCCATACTTTTCTGGACAGAGAGGCTAGATGGACTGCATACAGACTTGTGCACATTGCCAATTGCACAAATCAATTCAATGCAGAGTGCAACAGACTGTTGGTTGACGTTGGAAGTGACCTCCGACTTTATGACTCCAACTGTCAACTACGAACTACCTTATAAAGTGCTATTCCCTAGTAGAGAGGACGGGATCCTGCGGGAGAAGGAAATATTAAGAGCAGATAGTTGTTGGTTCACAGATATGGATCAAAAACACCTTCCGGTTCTGGTGCAGGTGTTTTTTAGTCGCAGGAACTTATGCGACTGTATTTCAAGGGGAAATTTACGCTATTGAATATTCCTCCTGATAAAAATCAAGTAGTTTTCATAAAAGAGCTCTAACACAACGCATTTTTAATTATCATTTCAACCTTTTCCTTTAAATAATCATTTAAATACTTCAAAGAGAGGAATGAAATAATGCATTCAACATTTAAGGGAATTTGTTTCTATTTCACCATTTGGCAACATCGATTATGAGACAAACAAGGATGTCATATTTCAAAGGCGTGCTGTTCTGTTTAATTATGTTCCGAGACATTCTGTGACATACGACATTTTGTGCATCTAACCTATCTTCCTCTATTTAAATAAATAACAAAAAAACTGTTGTTTATGTGGCTTGTAGAGGTGATATTGAACCATGATTTATATTTTCCCTCAATTGTTGATCCATAAAGATAATTTTCCTTTTTTAAAGTAGGTTATCTAGGTACGTATAAAATATTTCAACTTTATATAGACGCTGTTGCCAATATGTGAATTAGAAACAAATCCCTTTAAAAATTGAAACCCAACATTTGAAACATCAATTTGAATACTTTTTGAAGTGAATTTGAAAAACTCATGAATTAAACTAACTAACTCTATTTTGTTCAGACTTGACTTTGCTGTAATAACCTTAATTGAGGAGCATTCCCTATCGTGTGCGGAGAGATTGGAAGAATCCAATCTCATACACAAGTCAATACAAATATTCTCGGACAGTTAAACGGCGTTGGAAGTTCTCGGCTCCTACTGAGCAACGTTTAAATTGGTAGCAAATTGCCAAAAACGACTCTCCTCGATAAGAAGACTCAACAGTTTGTCTCTCGTCTGAATTCCTGGCCATAGTAGCCTGGAAGGTAATGAAGTTGCCGACACCCTTGCAAAAGAGGGCGCTCCAAGCGGCTTCATCGGACCAGAATCAGTCATTGGAATCGCTTTGGGCTTTGCCAAACGAACACTGAACACCTGGATAACAAGAAAATTTATTGACTTCTGGCAAAATCTTCCAGGTTTGGCACTCTAAGGCGTTCATTCACTCTTCGAAGCTCGATACCAAACAGTTGTTGGACTACAGTAGCATTGTATATAGACTATATACAAAGACAGTAGGGATGAACTACGATGTCTAACAGGCCTTCTTACCGGTCACTGTCATTTGAATCATCATATGCAGAGACTTGGACTGTCTGAAGAAAGTGTGTGTCGCCTCTGTCTGGAAAATGATGAAATAGTAGAGCATATACTTTGTGCCTGCCCCGCTGGGGACAGGCACAAAGGGAATTTCGTTTCTGATGTGGTGGACGGACATGCCGACAGCGACTGTCCACAAAAAAGGCACGCGAACGCCATTGTTGGAGACGAAACTCAGTTTGTGTTATGAATGCCTGCCGTCATAGAACGTGCCATCATTAAATTAAACATTTTTGTGAACAGTCTTTACGTGTTGAAGAGAAACAGCACGCCCATTCACGTCGGTTGGAGGTCGGGTGAACAGGATGTCGTGGGAGTGTTATAGTGAATGTACATAACGTCTGCCCCCATTCACGCCGGTTGGACCGGATGTCCACGTGGGAGTGTTATAGTGGATGTACATAACACCGGTTGGAGGCCGGGTGTCCACGTGGGAGTGTTATAGTGGATGTACATAACGCCGGGTGTCCACGTAGGAGTGTTATAGTGGATGTACATAACGCCGGTTGGACCGGATGTCCACGTGGGAGTGTTATAGTGGATGTACATAACGCCGGTTGGACCGGATGTAAAAAAGAATAACAATATATTTATAACAATATACATTTTACATAGTAAAAACGATGTACAAATCAGAATCAAATTACATTAAATGCAGATCAGTTCACGGTCAAGAGCCATTTCTTATGTATATCATGGCAAACTAGGATATAAAAAAATATAAGAACCACGGAATATTCTCATAAAAAACCGTCTTTGACCATATTCGATTGAATTTTACTAACACACAGATGCCTCTGAATTCGTTTTCACATAAGAACATGCACGAATTTCAAACAACCAATGAAAGAAAAAACAAGAACAATTCATCTAGAAAATTTGATTGTGGAAAACTCTAAGGAATTGGAATTAAACCACACAAGGAGTGACAATGAATGAGTTTTATCTTACTGGAATGACA